CCTCCAGATTACCACCGGCACTACCACGAAACTGACCATCAATCTCGGACAACAAAGAGCAATTCAGACCTAAATCTTCAGACATTTAGTAGACTATAATGAGAAAAATTGAAAATATAACCTTATCCTGGTCACGGCACCAAATCTCTAATAGGCGCCTAGCGCGTGGTGTGTGTTGAACAGGCGCCCAGTGACAGCAGAACTAAATAGATATATGACATATATAAGTGTCAGCAGACTTAGCTGGATACTGAATGTGGATGCTTTGCGTTGTGTTCTCGGTCTCCTAGTTTGTGTGGTCAGTATGTCCTGCCTACTAGTTCTGTATTAATCGGTTCCTGGCGGGTTCTTCCAATTCCCTCAATTATAGACAACATAAGAAAATGAAGCTTCCATTCTTGTTTAATAATAAAAAATAAACAGATAAGAACGTAAAGAGGCAAACCAGTCAACAACAAACAACCCTACATATCTCTCCCCATTCCCTCCCTACATACAACCTACCTCAACACTATTTAACTGCCTAATACATCCACCCCCTTAACCTAACTCCCGAAAACAACAAAATAAACCTACTCGTTCCTACTCTAATTCTCCCCTTCTGCAACTACCTCTAAGTCAATATACTACTCCCAGAAAAACAACAAACATGAAGTGAAAACCTAAATGGCATTGATACAAGACGCGGTGGTCGTTAGAAACTTACCCGATGCGGGTATCGGACGACTGACGATTCCCTACCTAGGGTTGGTTTATGTAGCCACACCGGCCGCGTGACTGGGAAAATCCGAAATTCAGCCAATGCGCACGCTCCTCAAGATGGCTGAGCATGCAAGTGTCCAAACAGTTCTTATTACACCGCCCTTTTACCTGACAGGTAGATGATATTTACCTGCCAGTTATCCCACACCTGGGATGGCGTTCCTTTACCGGAATTACGGTATACCCCCGTACTTCGGTCCTGACGATAAGGGATGTGCGAGAGGTACAGTGTCAGTACCCGAGGCCCTTTGAACTTTACCGTAGTTCCTCCAGCAACCATAAGACGATGATCTTCGTTCCACAGTTTTATTAACACTGCGTTGCTGGTCCAACCCACTCTATTTGTCACATAATTAGGAGACTTTAGCCGCAAAGCTTCAGTCTCAGTCGAAATGCTGGTGCTTTGAGTTTGTTTCTTAGTACGAAAGTTAGGGACAATCAGATGAGTGCTGATGCGCCCTAGACCCCAGGCTTGGGGTTCCAAGGAGCACTCCAGACACTCGGCTTGAGGTCTCGAGGCGCGCACCACTTTTTTTCCCTCTTGTGAGCTTTGCTATACCTTAAGACCCGGGATCCTACGTCACAGGCATAAAGATTCTTGTTTTTCCATTGGACGGTAACCTTTACCCTCGCTGCAGACTAGTCTCCCCCTTTCGTGTCTGTACCCCCCAATTTACCTTATTTGTAAGACTGCGAGGTGAATTCCAGGAACCCCAGAATTACTCTCCCTAGCTATGACCATATATATCTTCCCTGATTCAAAGAAATGCTGCTCCTCCCGCGTTCTGACCATTTCTGTCTTACTATCAGCGAGGTGCCCAGCCCTGATAATATAACCATCTTCTTAACCTATATTCACTTGGCACAGGTCTAGCATCACCTCTCTCGCCAGGCTCACAAACTGCACCAACTTAACATTCCCGTCTCCGACCATTTCTCCCCAGCTACTGAATTTCTACCTTGAAGATGTTATTAATCATGATATAATTTGTCTCCCATTACGGCTTAATTTCCAATATTAATGATCTAGACTTCATATCAATTATGGAAATAAATATCACAATGTTATGCCTATAATACTACCCCCTTTCTGACCAAGAGTGTGCCCTCACACTCTAAGATCTATCTTTATCAATAGTATAATTTCATGCCTATAATACAAGAAGCGTGACATCGTCATGTCTCCCCAGGCACAAGGTCGAAACGCTTCTACAAGAAAGAGTACAAAGGTAGGTACTACCCAAGCCGCCCACCCAAATACCTTAACTACCCCACCCACTATGCAATTATTATATTTATCCAGTATTTAAACCCCAAGACGGCCACACGTAAAAGGTCATTATAACACAGCCTTAACTGTTTCTATTCGTACATTCACACCGTTAGACTTGCGCCTGTTGCCCAACATGTTGAAAGCACTAGCCGTGTCGACTTTGACCATGATGTAAGAGCAGCTTGGGCAACCAAGGTAATTATATCGTTTCCGAAACTGGGATTATCACCCGAAACAGAGCTGGCAAAGTATATCAGTGTGGAAGTCAATCTCTTTAGGTCAGGTTTTTCATTGTTTTCAAGCCAGCATATCAAATACAGTACACAGTGGATGGGGCCTGAATTGTTATTTACGATCACAATAAACCGTGTTAAGATAATCAAGAATTGGGCAAACTGGCTGCTTATACCAAAACATGGTTCTATATTAAGCGTTTTGAGCACGAGTTTGGAAATGGCGTTTCAGAAAAATAAATAGTGTCATATTAGATAAGTTGGAAGTTATTATATGATTTATTCTTAGAGGCAAACGAAAGTATACCGGGTTTGTTAGGCAACCAGTTGATGAAGCACAACATGGAAGTGGATGTGGATATGCACTATTCTTGTCCCGTCACGGTCAAACATGCCTAGGCTGGCGTAGACATCTGCTGGTTGGCGTAGACATCTGCTGAGGTTCAGAACACAAGACAGCCACAGTGTTCACACTGTGTTTAATCTTGACAACTCTGTTGCTTTTGCTACAAAAATAATCTTAATTTAATTGAAGATGAAATACATGTTTTACTTTATTGTAAAGCCTACTTAGATATAAGGAATACGTTTCTGGGTAAATATTTGAAACATTATTTGGCACAACACAGTTTTATAAACATAATGACTTCAAAAAACATAAATGTTATAAATAATTTGTGCCTATTTTTATATAATGTTGGGAAAATAAGAGATTCTGATGTTTTTATGTAAAACCAGGGAAAATCTACAACATTATATAGTCTCCCTGGTAAAACGCATGTAACTTTTTATTATATTTATGAATGTATTTTGGGCCAGTGGCCTATTACTGAATAAATGTCTGTCTGTCTGTCTGTCTGTCTAATCTTGACAACTCTGTTGCTTTTGCAAGGGTTTACATATGTTTACAAGGTGGCATCACAACTCCTAGTAATACACTGATGTTGCTAATGACATTTTGAACGGCACGCTACCGGGAGGACAATATCATGTTCTATCCTTTATGCCAATTTTACATCAGGATTATATTCATCGGTGATAGAAATCAGCAGTCTTTCATGTCCCCCCTCGTCAGGAGTTGAAAGCGGTGGTATTCAGTTATTATCTCATCTGCAGGGTGATCAGGAAACGTTAATCATATACGTTGTCTTTGTGTCGTATGAACATTTCAAAAAGCCGAGAGGCTTCGTATAGTATTTGGTAAATCAAAACACGATTCCATACAAAGATGTTGCCAAATGTTTTATTTGAAGCAACAAAATCTTCAATCTACATATCTGACAATAGATAACAAAAAACCTTCATCAAACTGGTGATTGCACTCTTTCTAAGTGAAGAGCCTTTTGGGTGTCTTCTGACGCGATATTGCGGGGTATCGCCCAGTTCACCGTGAATTGTATTCATACGTCAACACTTGTCACTAAATCACTGATATCTAAAGACCATCTTCAAGTAGATGTGCACACTCAGCAATGATCATGTTACATTGTAAATTATCGTTTTCAGTCCAGACACTCTAGTAAATGAACGATATTTTAACCGAATAGTACCGGTCCACCGGATACCATAACACGCCGTCAGCCTTGACACTGCCCAGCCGTCGTATCATCAACGTCAGCGGCTCATGAGACAGTTATGGAATACTGGTGACCTACTCGTCTCCGAGCTCACCCAAAAGGGAGGCGCATAAAAGAAGTGGAATTTAAAGAACCAACAATGTACTCAGATTCCATAATGTGTGTCCACGTACACGTATTATGCGATGTGAAGAATGTAGCGGTTGCGTTCCATTCTATCTGGTTATATTTATACATATATTTATACATATATTTGTACATATTGCACATAGCTAATGGGTACCACAACACGCAATATGGTATTGGAAAGAGTCCCTAACTGCACCGTGAACACCTAGGACTGAACGACTACCTGATCTGTTAGTAGCATAACCTAATGATTCGTATATACCTGATTCTGCGTGCACAGAGATTCCTTGGAACCGTTGATGCTTTATCTCTCATCTACAGTACTAAGTCCCACAGTGTGCCCAGGGTGCCGTTGTACAAAGCGATCTTAGGGTTAAGGTGATCGTAACTCCCATACCTTAACATAGCCTTACGACTGTCGTAGCGCAAAGGTTGTTTTGTACAACGGCACCTGGTCGTGTAGACATGAGATTACTGAACCCGGTGTAACAGGCCGAAACATCTCTCTGGTCACGTGGGGACGCAATAGCCGAGGCCCTATCTCCCCCACCCCTGACCAGGGCTTTGATTTTCGAAGCTCTCTAAGCGCTAAGATAGTCGTAAGTGCCATACATTAACATTAACTTACGACTATCTTAGCGCTAAGAGAGCTTCGAAAATCAAGGCCCTGGTCTTTTCTCCTCGAAGTTGAGCAGATGAAGGTTCAGTCTGGGCCATATCTTTTGAGTCTTGACAGTTCTTCTCCAGACCTACCCCAGTTCTTGCCTAGGCTGAACCTTCCCTCCGTTATGTTCAGTTTATCTGAAATCACGGACAACCATAATAAGATCTTATGATATAGCCTCTGCTGAAATATAGAGGCGGTAGAGGAAGAGGAGAGGAGCATGTTGCTGTCTGTGGACGAAGTGGCAAGAGGAACATTTAGCCTGGTACATCGGGTCAGCAGAGTTGCTCACACGTGGACCACGTTCGAGAACACTATCTCAGTAAGTGACTAAAATACCTTTGATAAATGGTACATGATACACGCTAATTTATATAGTATTTAGTGTCAAGGATGGACTTGATTGCTGTCAAGGTTAGAGTGATTATATTCCGAGAAATGCCGGGCGCTTCATCTTGCATACGACCGCGTAGTTTTGATCCACACATGGGGTGTTCATCCAGGTGATCTTGTTGTCAGAATAGGAAATCTTCGTGCAGTAACCACCGGTCAGTCCAGACATGCCTTGTCTGGAGCTCCAATTCTCGTAGACGGGGTCAGATCCGTCCAGCCAGGTGAACTTGTCGAACACACTGCGGTACCGGTAGCCTGGGAACAAGACACAACAAGTTATATAGAACTCCAGACCAGCTAGAAATAACACATAGTTGCCTCCCATAACTGATATAAATCCGCTCTTTGTGAGTTCGAATCCAAAATTCGCCCCTGATCACTACTAGCCTATCAGCCAGCATATCAGTAATTGGGGAATTCCATGAAGCTGTACTGTATGATGAAACTGATCCAACTCACTCACCAGTTCACTCACTCACTCACTCACCCCTACCCCCTCCTTGGATACGAGATATACAGGACCCGCCGTGATGTTGCTGGAATATTGCTAAAAGCGGCGTAAAACCAAACTCAGTCAGTCAGTCAGTCAGATATACTGGAATAACTGTCATTATCATACCACGAAGTACAAAATGTGTTGGTGATAGTGAATGTAGTATATTCCCCAGGCGGCTGTGTTGGAACCAATCCCAGATATTCCGACTGAATGTAGTACAGTGTAAAAAGTGCTGTAGCTACCTATGAGGACATGTGTTGGTGATAGTGAATGTAGTATATTCTCCAGGCGGCTGTGTTGGAACCAATCCCAGATATCCCGACTGAATGTAATACAGTGTAAAAGTGCTGTAGCTACCTATGAGGACATGTGTTGGTGATAGTGAATGTAGTATATTCTCCAGGCGGCTGTGTTGGAACCAATCCCAGATATCCCGACTGAATGTAATACAGTGTAAAAAGTGCTTGTAACTACCTATGAGGACATGTGTTTGTGATAGTGAATGTAGTATATTCTCCAGGCGGCTGTGTTGGAACCAATCCCAGATATCCCGACTGAATGTAATACAGTGTAAAAGTGCTGTAACTACCTATGAGGACATGTGTTGGTGATAGTGAATGTAGTATATTCTCCAGGCGGCTGTGTTGGAACCAATCCCAGATATCCCGACTGAATGTAATACAGTGTAAAAGTGCTGTAACTACCTACCATATGAGGACATGTGTTGGTGATAGTGAATGTAGTATATTCTCCAGGCGGCTGTGTTGGAACCAATCCCAGATATCCCGACTGAATGTAATACAGTGTAAAAGTGCTGTAACTACCTATGAGGACATGTGTTGGTGATAGTGAATGTAGTATATTCTCCAGGCGGCTGTGTTGGAACCAATCCCAGATATCCCGACTGAATGTAATACAGTGTAAAAGTGTTGTAGCTACCTATGAGGACATGTGTTGGTGATAGTGAATGTAGTATATTCTCCAGGCGGCTGTGTTGGAACCAATCCCAGATATCCCGACTGAATGTAATACAGTGTAAAAGTGTTGTAGCTACCTATGAGGACATGTGTTGGTGATAGTGAATGTAGTATATATTCTCCAGGCGGCTGTGTTGGAACCAATCCCAGATATCCCGACTGAATGTAATACAGTGTAAAAGTGCTGTAACTACCTATGAGGACATGTGTTGGTGATAGTGAATGTAGTATATTCTCCAGGCGGCTGTGTTGGAACCAATCCCAGATATCCCGACTGAATGTAATACAGTGTAAAAGTGCTGTAACTACCTATGAGGACATGTGTTGGTGATAGTGAATGTAGTATATTCTCCAGGCGGCTGTGTTGGAACCAATCCCAGATATCCCGACTGAATGTAATACAGTGTAAAAGTGCTGTAACTACCTATGAGGACATGTGTTGGTGATAGTGAATGTAGTATATTCTCCAGGCGGCTGTGTTGGAACCAATCCCAGATATCCCGACTGAATGTAATACAGTGTAAAAGTGCTGTAACTACCTATGAGGACATGTGTTGGTGATAGTGAATGTAGTATATTCTCCAGGCGGCTGTGTTGGAACCAATCCCAGATATCCCGACTGAATGTAATACAGTGTAAAAGTGCTGTAACTACCAATGAGGACATGTGTTGGTGATAGTGAATGTAGTATATTCTCCAGGCGGCTGTGTTGGAACCAATCCCAGATATCCCGACTGAATGTAATACAGTGTAAAAGTGTTGTAGCTACCTATGAGGACATGTGTTGGTGATAGTGAATGTAGTATATTCTCCAGGCGGCTGTGTTGGAACCAATCCCAGATATCCCGACTGAATGTAATACAGTGTAAAAGTGCTGTAACTACCTATGAGGACATGTGTTGGTGATAGTGAATGTAGTATATTCTCCAGGCGGCTGTGTTGGAACCAATCCCAGATATCCCGACTGAATGTAATACAGTGTAAAAGTGCTGTAACTACCTATGAGGACATGTGTTGGTGATAGTGAATGTAGTATATTCTCCAGGCGGCTGTGTTGGAACCAATCCCAGATATCCCGACTGAATGTAATACAATGTAAAAGTGTTGTAGCTACCTATGAGGACATGTGTTGGTGATAGTGAATGTAGTATATTCTCCAGGCGGCTGTGTTGGAACCAATCCCAGATATCCCGACTGAATGTAATACAGTGTAAAAGTGCTGTAACTACCTATGAGGACATGTGTTGGTGATAGTGAATGTAGTATATTCTCCAGGCGGCTGTGTTGGAACCAATCCCAGATATCCCGACTGAATGTAATACAGTGTAAAAGTGCTGTAACTACCTATGAGGACATGTGTTGGTGATAGTGAATGTAGTATATTCTCCAGGCGGCTGTGTTGGAACCAATCCCAGATATTCCGACTGAATGTAATACAGTGTAAAAGTGCTGTAGCTACCTATGAGGATATGTGTTGGTGATGGTGAATGTAGTATATTCTCCAGGCGGCTGTGTTGGAACCAATCCCAGATATCCCGACTGAATGTAATACAGTGTAAAAGTGTTGTAGCTACCTATGAGGACATGTGTTGGTGATAGTGAATGTAGTATATTCTCCAGGCGGCTGTGTTGGAACCAATCCCAGATATCCCGACTGAATGTAATACAGTGTAAAAGTGCTGTAACTACCTATGAGGACATGTGTTGGTGATAGTGAATGTAGTATATTCTCCAGGCGGCTGTGTTGGAACCAATCCCAGATATCCCGACTGAATGTAATACAGTGTAAAAGTGCTGTAACTACCTATGAGGACATGTGTTAGTGATAGTGAATGTAGTATATTCTCCAGGCGGCTGTGTTGGAACCAATCCCAGATATCCCGACTGAATGTAATACAGTGTAAAAGTGCTGTAACTACCTATGAGGACATGTGTTGGTGATAGTGAATGTAGTATATTCTCCAGGCGGCTGTGTTGGAACCAATCCCAGATATCCCGACTGAATGTAATACAGTGTAAAAGTGCTGTAACCTACCCATGAGGACATGTGTTGGTGATAGTGAATGTAGTATATTCTCCAGGCGGCTGTGTTGGAACCAATCCCAGATATCCCGACTGAATGTAATACAGTGTAAAAGTGTTGTAGCTACCTATGAGGACATGTGTTGGTGATAGTGAATGTAGTATATTCTCCAGGCGGCTGTGTTGGAACCAATCCCAGATATCCCGACTGAATGTAATACAGTGTAAAAGTGCTGTACCTACCAATGAGGACATGTGTTGGTGATAGTGAATGTAGTATATTCTCCAGGCGGCTGTGTTGGAACCAATCCCAGATATCCCGACTGAATGTAATACAGTGTAAAAGTGCTGTAACTACCTATGAGGACATGTGTTGGTGATAGTGAATGTAGTATATTCTCCAGGCGGCTGTGTTGGAACCAATCCCAGATATCCCGACTGAATGTAATACAGTGTAAAAGTGCTGTAGCTACCTATGAGGACATGTGTTGGTGATGGTGAATGTAGTATATTCTCCAGGCGGCTGTGTTGGAACCAATCCCAGATATCCCGACTGAATGTAATACAGTGTAAAAAGTGTTGTACCTACCTATGAGGACATGTGTTGGTGATAGTGAATGTAGTATATTCTCCAGGCGGCTGTGTTGGAACCAATCCCAGATATCCCGACTGAATGTAATACAGTGTAAAAGTGCTGTAGCTACCTATGAGGACATGTGTTGGTGATAGTGAATGTAGTATATTCTCCAGGCGGCTGTGTTGGAACCAATCCCAGATATCCCGACTGAATGTAATACAGTGTAAAAGTGCTGTAGCTACCTATGAGGACATGTGTTGGTGATAGTGAATGTAGTATATTCTCCAGGCGGCTGTGTTGGAACCAATCCCAGATATCCCGACTGAATGTAATACAGTGTAAAAGTGCTGTAACTACCTATGAGGACATGTGTTGGTGATAGTGAATGTAGTATATTCTCCAGGCGGCTGTGTTGGAACCAATCCCAGATATCCCGACTGAATGTAATACAGTGTAAAAGTGCTGTAGCTACCTATGAGGACATGTGTTGGTGATAGTGAATGTAGTATATTCCCCAGGAGGCTGTGTTGGAACCAATCCCAGATATCCCGACTGAATGTAATACAATGTAAAAGTGTTGTAGCTACCTATGAGGACATGTGTTGGTGATAGTGAATGTAGTATATTCTCCAGGCGGCTGTGTTGGAACCAATCCCAGATATTCCGACTGAATGTAATACAGTGTAAAAGTGCTGTAGCTACCTATGAGGATATGTGTTGGTGATGGTGAATGTTGTATATTCTCCAGGCGGCTGTGTTGGAACCAATCCCAGATATCCCGACTGAATGTAATACAGTGTAAAAGTGTTGTAGCTACCTATGAGGACATGTGTTGGTGATAGTGAATGTAGTATATTCTCCAGGCGGCTGTGTTGGAACCAATCCCAGATATCCCGACTGAATGTAATACAGTGTAAAAGTGCTGTAACTACCTATGAGGACATGTGTTGGTGATAGTGAATGTAGTATATTCTCCAGGCGGCTGTGTTGGAACCAATCCCAGATATCCCGACTGAATGTAATACAGTGTAAAAGTGCTGTAACTACCTATGAGGACATGTGTTAGTGATAGTGAATGTAGTATATTCTCCAGGCGGCTGTGTTGGAACCAATCCCAGATATCCCGACTGAATGTAATACAGTGTAAAAGTGCTGTAACTACCTATGAGGACATGTGTTGGTGATAGTGAATGTAGTATATTCTCCAGGCGGCTGTGTTGGAACCAATCCCAGATATCCCGACTGAATGTAATACAGTGTAAAAGTGCTGTAGCTACCCATGACGACATGTGTTGGTGATAGTGAATGTAGTATATTCTCCAGGCGGCTGTGTTGGAACCAATCCCAGATATCCCGACTGAATGTAATACAATGTAAAAAGTGTTGTAGCTACCTATGAGGACATGTGTTGGTGATAGTGAATGTAGTATATTCTCCAGGCGGCTGTGTTGGAACCAATCCCAGATATCCCGACTGAATGTAATACAGTGTAAAAAAAGTGTTGTACCTACCTATGAGGACATGTGTTGGTGATAGTGAATGTAGTATATTCTCCAGGCGGCTGTGTTGGAACCAATCCCAGATATCCCGACTGAATGTAATACAGTGTAAAAGTGCTGTAACTACCTATGAGGACATGTGTTGGTGATAGTGAATGTAGTATATTCTCCAGGCGGCTGTGTTGGAACCAATCCCAGATATTCCGACTGAATGTAATACAGTGTAAAAGTGTTGTAGCTACCTATGAGGATATGTGTTGGTGATGGTGAATGTTGTATATTCTCCAGGCGGCTGTGTTGGAACCAATCCCAGATATCCCGACTGAATGTAATACAGTGTAAAAGTGTTGTAGCTACCTATGAGGACATGTGTTGGTGATAGTGAATGTAGTATATTCTCCAGGCGGCTGTGTTGGAACCAATCCCAGATATCCCGACTGAATGTAATACAGTGTAAAAAGTGTTGTAACTACCTATGAGGACATGTGTTGGTGATAGTGAATGTAGTATATTCTCCAGGCGGCTGTGTTGGAACCAATCCCAGATATTCCGACTGAATGTAATACAGTGTAAAAGTGCTGTAGCTACCTATGAGGATATGTGTTGGTGATGGTGAATGTAGTATATTCTCCAGGCGGCTGTGTTGGAACCAATCCCAGATATCCCGACTGAATGTAATACAGTGTAAAAGTGCTGTAACTACCTATGAGGACATGTGTTGGTGATAGTGAATACAGTATATTCTCCAGGCGGCTGTGTTGGAACCAATCCCAGATATCCCGACTGAATGTAATACAGTGTAAAAGTGCTGTAGCTACCTATGAGGATATGTGTTGGTGATGGTGAATGTTGTATATTCTCCAGGCGGCTGTGTTGGAACCAATCCCAGATATCCCGACTGAATGTAATACAGTGTAAAAGTGTTGTAACTACCTATGAGGACATGTGTTGGTGATAGTGAATGTAGTATATTCTCCAGGCGGCTGTGTTGGAACCAATCCCAGATATCCCGACTGAATGTAATACAGTGTAAAAGTGCTGTAACTACCAATGAGGACATGTGTTGGTGATAGTGAATACAGTATATTCTCCAGGCGGCTGTGTTGGAACCAATCCCAGATATTCCGACTGAATGTAATACAGTGTAAAAGTGTTGTAACTACCTATGAGGACATCCTTCCCATTTCCGTTGTGGAAGTCCTTCACCATGTTGTAGACGTAGTCGTTCTCAGCCTTGCTGTGGACTGTCACCATGTTACTGTCGCCCCTGTTGACAATGACAATAATACAGTAATAAGGGTAACAACTTCAAATCTTACAAGTTTCCTATTTAACATCTTAAATCAATATCCGTAAATGTCATGAAGTGAGTCAGTCAGCTGGAAAGTGATTACACATTATCATCTTGAGCAAGTATCCAGTATGACAGTGATCCTATTACTAGTTCACGTATTTCTCTCCCTTACAGGAGGACTTGCTAGTTACAAATCAACTGTTTGTTACAGGCAGGTTGGTTGGTTGGTTGGCGCCGAACTCAACAATATTCCAGCTATATGACGGCGGTCTGTAAATAATCGAGTCTGGACTAGACAATCCAGTGATCAGCATCAAGGGCATCCATCTGTTACAGTATTTCTTACTGGTTACACAGAGCTGCCACAGAGTCGTAGTGGGGCGCTGTCTTGCCCGTGTAGAGGTAGCAGGAACCACCATGTTCCTTCCAGGCTGGGAAAACAACAGAGGTATAAGATTATCAATTCTTAAGGATGAAGATGTATAGATAAGCTGGTGAACTGGGCCTGTGGGTCCAAAGAAAGGGCTTACCACGTTGTGTCCATAAGAATGTAAACAAATTGACTATCCTCTTTTGATATTAATGATACGAGTATATTTTGAGTAATATCTAACTCAAAAGCATGCAGTTATTCATGCTTTTCACAAACACTCCTACCATGTTTACTTAACGGCATCCCTTCCATTGACTGTAAGTACATGCTACAGTGTCCGATAATACATTACAGTTAATGGTTTAGTAATTGTGTTATCCAAGTAGAAGGTGAAGGGTTCGAAGGTGCAATAAGCTATGGTTATACCGAGCTCAAAGGGACCTTTTATATGAGTTTGTTATTACCGTAGATCGTTATATACATTTCGGCTAAATATACAGGAAATGGCTCGATATTAGCGTGCTCGTTATAAACGGAGTTTGATGTAAAAATCTCCCCTTACTGTGTGGACAAATGCTGGCTGTTGTTGTTGACTCTGGAACAGACAAGGTAACAGTTGAGTGCCATTCGTTGTCAATTACCCTGATTTCATGTTTTAAGGCAATGGTGAACTTAGTAAAAACAGTTAAACATGATATATGTTAAATGATTTCTAATAGTTTCATTAGGTGTATAAAACATGTAATTTTTTATGACTGATTGTAAGAAACAGAGCATACAGGAAATCAAAGCAACGTCACTTATAAATACACAAACGTTATTCACTGCTTGGTTGCTCATCCATCATACATGAAGAACTGCACTATATTACCCACCAAGAAGACATACGACGCCATTCTTCTCATTGGCACTGGCAGACTTCTTGTTGAACAAGGAGGTGAAGGCCAGTTCTGGCGACATAGAATCAGCAGGGTTATATCCACGTTTGTTTGGTATCACAGAATATCAGTTTGGGAGATTGTTACATGGCTGGCTGCATACAAACTGTGTCGCTATTGCGTAAGTGAAATTCACATCTCCGTAAACCGACGCTCAGTAAATCGAACACTCAATGTCTGGAAATACAATCGACATCTGCAACTTCCAACTGGTATGGCCAACATCTCCAAAGCCCCCCAAACCGAACACGAAGTTTGAAGAATTGGAGCTTGTCGGAGCTTGCAACCACCTTCATGCAATGTTTGGCCCTCATTCTGTGATGGTTCATACACAGATGAACTGACACAAAGTTAAGCTTTATAGGAAAATATCCCCACGCTGTACCCCGAAGGTTGTCAAGGCCGACACAAGTGAGTGACTCCTTGCTTGCACTAACAGACATAACAACCAGCTGTATCACGGACAAACAGTTATAAAAGAGATGATATGAGAGTGTGTATGTTTAAATTCCTCTAGTTCTAGTACCCATTATTTGTAGTTTGATTACAACAGATAGATCAGATAGCATTTCCAGATGACAAAAATAAAGTCACTGTGACGTTGTGTAGTAATGTATCAAAGTCATCTTGTATCAATTGCCGATTATTTGGAGGTGATCATGCAAACATATGAAAGCATCCACTGCGTGCAAGACGCCATGTTTAGGAGACGAAAGTGCTGTATTCATATAGGAACTTCCCCGTGTGTATGGCTTTTCATAAAACGTACGAACATCAAGAGGTTTCCATCTTGATGATATCGAGGAGGTAATAAATTGTATCAAATTCTCACTGTATGAATATTTACCTCATAAGTTACAAATGTTCTCACCATAATAAGTGTCAACACCCACGTCGGCGTCATCACTGTCGACCACAACCTCGTTCGTCCAGTAGTCCATGTCGGCGCCGAATGCCAGCAGCTGGTTCCTGATCTCTCGCTACACAAGATGATATGTTGATACATGACACTGTCGCCCACTGGTGTTCGTTTTAACATTCAATGTAAATTGACTTATACTCCTTGACTCTCTCACCGCATCTGTTCTTGATATGGTACCAGCGCAATGATATTGCTGATTTAATCCCTGCTTTTTCATCTGTTATCTAATGGGTGACCTATATCAAATGAATGGTCAACACCTGATCTAGCACCTTAAGTTTCTGTCTCTATAAACCAATGTTGACTTTGTCTGATGTCTGATCCAAGCACTATTTTAGACGAAAATTCCATGCCGAAGGTATATACTGGCCGAAGTCCTGTATGTTGGTACAAACCTGTGTGGCGTCATCTGTGACTGTGGGCAGCTCTCCCTGGCGGGTTAAACACTGGTACTCTGCTGTGTCGTGGTCAGTTTTGGTGTTGAGGATGATGTAGCACCTGCCGTTGCTGCCCAGTCTGTGTCCGTCACCGTTAGGTCCGCAGCTCTCTGGTCAATGAGGAATATCTTTACTTTTCACAGTGTTAATAATAAAAAACGTCATTCGCAAAGTTACCTGACGCCGTTCAACATTACAACTACCACGTGATCGACAGACCAGAAATGCAGCGACAGGACAGTGCATTTACTGACTATAGAAACCAATGGCAATGATGTGTTAAGTTTGAATTACGACTGTTGCGTAGACGTTCACAGATTCCGCTGCTTGGAAGGAAAGGAAAGTAGGGAAATGATAGGGTTCAGGTTGAATTTCTCACACCAAACATTCCCATTTTGCTTTAACCCTGCAGAGATAAATGATACTGAGCTCATGATAGCACTCGAGAGTTGGGTCCACCAGAAACATCGACCCAGATCAAGTAAATATTAAACGTCCAGTGTTGGAACCGAAGCGAATCGAGTAATGACTGATGACACAGACTGATGACATAAAACGTTTTCTGAAACCTTCACTTGGATAAATATGCCTGTTTGCATTTCTTAAATACTGGCAGAGAAACCTTGATTCGCTGTACCTTAAGACAGTTGAAGTAAATATGACAACTACTTTTACATACATAATATCTGATTTGTATGAGGTGCTCTCTTCCCGATCTACTGATTCCTTACCAAGAGGAGCGATGGTGGTGGATGCTGGCAGCTGACAGAGGTAACGGTTTTCATCTTGCCATCGACGGCCTCGCCACTGGTACCTTTGACCCACGTCCATTGCTGAAACACACAACGGACAGACACTATATAACAGGTCTTAGTAGTTGAGATCCCATCCTTGAACAATTACATAGGTGATGATGTGGGTACTTCGTGTAAGGAACACTTATTTTCTGATTTTCCTTTTGATGTTGTTCCTTTTGAGATGATGCTATGTCAGGTTAGATTTCTTGATGGTTCTCAAAATGTACCGTACCAACAAAGTCGTCGTAGATTCTTGAGTTGTCGTATCCGAGGTCCCCGTTGATGTATGTAGCCGGTGTGCCGTCCATGAAGACGAACGCTCCTTCTTTAGCAACATCCGTCAAGCCGATCCAAATGTGAAACTTACTCTGCCCGAGGTATGCCTTGATGTCAGCCTAAACAGATCAACATGCTTATAGTAATAGTGAGGACGCCAGCTGTCATAGTGGAGGTTATCGATGGATACAAGTGCATACATCTCTTACAATATACAATGCCACATCACTACCCACTAGCCGTACCAAAAGGGGTTATGTGTGTAGTTTGAAATATTATTGTTTATTACCAGGATTACGCATCAAGGGGTTTCTACTTCATATGTGCATTTGAGTGAAACCCAAAGAGCACGCTATAGAATACACTCAATATAGAACATATTGAAGAAACTTCACGAACGTTGTACCAAGCGGTGATCTTCGCCATGACGATACATTGTGTACCTTGCAGGACTTTCTGATCCACATCCTACTTTTGGTAAGCAACAGTCAGCACTATTCTAGGTATGTGAAGGCGGCCTGTAAATATGATGGAACGGACGCCTGACTATAATGGACTGCCCCTTTCGACAAGCAAAAGAGTCATCGGTATCCATTCTAATCCGGACCCAGAGCAGGGAAACACAGCAAGATGCACCAAAACCTACCTGTTCAGTTGCCGAGGAGACGGTTGCCAAGTTACCGCCCATCTTGACGCATGCGCGTTGAGCATCAAAGAAGTTGAGTCGATCCTCTCCAACATAGTAACACTTCCCACCAGAGACTACACCGCGAGATCCCGGACCACAGCTTGGCCATGCACTGGCGGGAACTGAAGAGATAGTTATTACGCCATCAAGTAAATTGATATGAGTAAAATGTGACTAACCTAAACAGAAGAGTCTTGAAGACACCGGGTGGTAACATATCTACATACACACTCATGTGTATGAGGCTAAACGTACTTCTATAAATTTGTTAATGTTACGTTTTAGACGGATCATTTATTGCTTTGGTAAAAGCAATAGGTCTTCAGCATGATATGGTTCGGTGGGGTAGCCTGGTGGTTAAAGCGTTCGCTCGTCACGCCGAAGACCCGGGTTCGAATCCCCCCATGGGCACTATGTGTGAAGCCCATTTCTGGTGTCCCCCGCCGTGATATTGTTGGAATATTGCTAAAAGCGGCTCACCATACTCATTCACTCACTCCTTCATGGGATAGACACACGCGGTTCATCTACTTCTGTATAAATCCTGTAAGGCATTCAGATATGTATCCACATCTTAAAGTCGTATATATACAAGTATGCGAAGTCAAACTCGACAGACTCACCTGCACCGGTGGCAAACACCTCATTCCTCCAGCCGCCCCCACAGGAGAGCCCATTCTTCGCGCTGCACTCCCTGGTACAACCCTCACCAGACCCGTAGAGGCCGAAACTGTTACTACACCGACACTCAAAGCTGTACTGAACGCCAGCATATCTGTAGCCGTTCTGACCACATCTCTTGACACAGAACCCCCTGGTCATGGATTTGTGGAGCTGCATGGTCATGTCATCCATGTCCCTCCGCCAGTTGTCAACAGCGCATCCTCGAGACTGACTGGAGAGTGGTTCTGATGCTGAAACACACAACGGTTAATTATATAAGTACGGTAGGTTATACCTGACCTACGACAGAATGTCCCCAGGGTTTCCCGACTGGGTATATACCTGCCATGTTATAGGGCAGGGCCTACTAGAGTCGCTTGTGAACATATCAGAATTGGGTAAATAGTTCAGATGAAAACATCTCATAGTTCCCAGTCAAACTTGGTGGAATGCACCCTATCAAACTGAGAGGATGTGTCAGGCTACCTGGTTCAGCATGTTGTGGACACTGGTCATCTCCGTCGCTGGCACTGGTCTGTGGAACAGTCGTTGGGCGAGTGTCACCGGCACCAAAACCCTGTTGACAAAGGATGTTCACAGCTACCACATACAGTATGGCGTTTATGTTGGGAAGAAACCAACACAAACACGAAATACAACAGTAAAACATTCAGATGTTTGCTCTGTGTGTATCTTAAACATCTCAAACTATCTACATCTACCCACTGAAACAGCCACATAGTTGAGCAAAGAAGGATCCTTATCCTAGAAACTGAACTCACTGCGAGATCTTAGGTTCGGGGTTTGAATCACTTGAGGCATCACTTTACTCGTCCTCGTGGATTTCATGAAGCTACTTAAACCTGCACAACCTACAAGACTATATGTCACACTATGTTGTAACGATGTGATGTTACTCTGATATGTTTAAAGTGACGCTGCACACATTTTACAAACTCGCTCATTCCATGGTATTTACAACCATTACAGAGTTACCTACCTGTGATGATGCCTTGACACAAGGGGGCGCTGCTGTCTCCACTGAGGCTTCCTGGACAGAGATTTACACATTACAAGAGTGAAGCAATTGTGAAAAACATAATTATGAAACTATTATCTCCGAACATGGACGATACCCAACCACAACCAGAGTAGTTTTACATCAATATATATTCAGCGAACATTCAGTACCTCTGCTTGTCTGACGTAAGGACCATAGGCTGATTGCCGACAGTCTGCAGTGTTGCTTCCGTCTTTTCTCACTAGGTTGAAGTTTGGACATTTTCCATTTGGGCACAGCATCTGCCTCTCAGTTCGAGTCTCATTTGACATCAGCTTGATGAAGACCATGCTGCGATAAAGATACATATTATATGATTCAACGGTTAATCCATATAAACGACAATATTTAGATCTTCAATTATTCGAAGCAACTTCGCTTAAAGATCAAAAGGCTTTACATTCGAGTTCTCATTTGACATCAGCTTGTTGAAGATCATGCTGTGATACAGAGATAGCAAGTAATCACACAGATCCACGATGTTGAGAGAGAGATATGAGAAATTAATCTCTAAGCACATGTAAAAGAGACATGTAATGTAATAAGAAATGAAAATAATACATGTAGATGCAATTGGAAGATTCGCTGTGCACATCATGGACCTCAAACGTACCCAACTTGTTTGTCCCAGAAGTACGCCGCACCGGAAGTGTCAGCATCCAGTTCCTGTATAGTGGCGACCTCTCGCGGTGGCCTGCGGGAATTGTAGGAAGGATACCAGCTGGATAGCTCAAATGTCGTCATGTCTTTAGGCATGCATACACCGACACGAATAACGTCTCCTCTGAAATACAAACATAGTGATGATCATATCTGTTACAATAAATGTAATGGAACATGTCGCAAGTTAAAATCTGTGTCTGTCCACAGCCTGAGTGTAACAGTAGTCAAGCGATTCACGATTTTATGATATAGATAGAATTATTCATAAACGTCAAAGTGTGGTTTGTCATGATAGTAAGCAACGTCGGTGTGAAGGTTAAAGCACAACTCCTGTCTGAACACTGGGAATTTGGCAGAGCTATGTTGATATGAACAGTGGTGGTCGAGGCCACAGAACTAGTGTGGATGAAAATAATGACTTGTCGCTTCAACTTTAGTATTGATGAAGATTCCGTACCTCTCCATGTCTAACGCGAGCATCTTGAACTGCTTAGGCACCGCCGTGTCGAAGTGGACGGTGTAGGTCTTGTTAACCATAAAGTGATATCCTCGGCCCTGATTTTCTGAGAAAATAACAATGGAGATTGATGAAAACATTTCGCTGTGTATCGAGAAAAAAATGACAGCCGTGTTTAACATGAAAAAAGGAAACTCACTGTTCATTGCGAATGGATGTTCATGGGCGTCATCTCGGATGAAGGTGACAGGCTCGTCACTCAGTGACCAAACATCGGTATGAAGGTTAATCTTGAAGAAATGGAGACGCAGAATCATTACACCAGACAAATGTCATGAGATGTACAAACTATCGGGAAAGAAGATGCACTGGCGGTAAACGAAAGGGCTTAAGGCTTGCCTTTATTCTGTAGTTTAAACCGATTATCAGATTCATGTTGGACGTGGCGTAGATCGTAGACGCTGTGAAAACCAAATGCATTGGTGCTGGGGGAACCTGGTTAATGATTAAGGCTACTTGTGGATCTTGGTCATGTGAATTGAACTTCTTTAGTTGTAAATGACTACTGCTCACCTTGACATATTTGTGAGGACATACGGCCATGTCCCAGTTGTCCTTCAAAGAACACTTGGGTGTGGTAAAGAACGGGTTGTTCTTGACGACCTGGGAGTTGATCATGCCCGTCACGCTACCGTCAACGTCGTGGAACGATGTTTGCTGTTTCCCCTCGCCGTCCTTCTCAAATCCTGGGGTGGTGTTGTTGCCGTCGAACACTCTGTTTCCTTCAGACTGTTGGGAAGAGAAGGTTTGCATTGGAAAATATACATTGTGATAGTTCGTAAATAGCAGATTCGATGAAGATTTAGTACTGTGAGGATACCTGGACATTTACCGACTACATGTGAGGATTGGATGATTCCATGTTTGACTTGAGGTATCTGGGGTACCTTACCATGAGGGTACCAACCTACCTTATCACAGAATCCAAACTTAAGACCGGACACTGTGCTTCTGGGGTTGAAGACAGGCATGTTGGTTCTCCTGAAACCAAGCGCGCCGCCAGTACGATACCCAGGGACGTTGAAGACGCTGTCCCATGTAGTGTTCCAGTGCCAGTGGTAGAAGTCGTTGAAGTAGCAGTCGGTGACGTAGCTCGGTCCGTTGTAGAAGACAAAGCCTTGCAGAGGGTCAGTTCTGAGGTAAATGAATAATATGTATCACTATATCCGTAACCATGAGGATAGTCCGATTCAAAGATTCTTAATCCAATGATTCATGAATTATAAATGACGTGATATAGTATGCAGAATTACGAGTCATGTTTAAGGTATAGGTTGGGTTGCCATGGCATGGACACGCTGATCTCAATGTCGTATAGGTCAGTATCGTGAGACACAGTCGCCGTGAGTCTAATCCACAGCATAGATTCACGTCCCTTCGGTAATAACACAGTCGGTTGCTGATTTAAGGACTCCTCTATCGAGGTAATAGCCCCTCTTTAACTCTCAGACTGAAACAGAGCAGGTTCTGCCACATCGTCGTCGTACTCTGAAGAACTCTGAACTCTGAAAAACACGCTTGAACGCTCTCCACCATGGTTGTCCAGAGGTAAACCATTTGACGGTGGTGTGTGTAAAGGATAAACAGATAAATAACAAATATTTACTCACGGCCTCCAGCCCAGAAAAGATCTGCTGAACTTGTGAACTGGCTTCACCTGTCCACTAAATCTCCATTCGGTGTAAGCACTGCCGACACCCAAGTTGTCCGACATCCCAATAAACACCGAGTTCTTGACTTCATTGACGCGGTTGCCCTTCGACAGCGGCATGACGAGTCCTCGCTGGGAGTCGGCAATACTGGAACATGACATTATATACATGGCACTTCAACGAAGAACACTCAGGAACATATCTCCAAGCTACAGCTATGGGATCTGCTACACAGAAACACCACATCATATGACGCTCTAGATTTCCCACAAGATCACCCCCTTTAGAGGACTTTAGTGCTGTACAGATCGCCAAGTCATTTACCGTCACTGACCAGTACGCGGTGTGCTAGACTGATTGAGTTGATGATATGTTGTTGCTGCTGTAAAGGTATCAGCTGAAGGTGGGGAAGACGAAGTGATGCATATAACCTAGTGCTGCTAACACGGGGGTGAAACCAAATACCACAGGTATGGCGCCGACAAACCTAAAAGTAGAATAGTGGCGAGCAGAGAATCGAACCCGGTATACTAAAGTATCTTTATGACAGAACTGCCCCTTGGCCAGTCTCACCTGGAGTTGATCAGAATGGTGTTGGCAGCCTTCAGCCAGATATTCTCCTGACGGTTCTTGTACACGGTAAGTCTGTCGGAGAGATGGAAACAGGTAAAATACAAGACGGCTTTCTCTTCACCAAATTAAAGTTGGTGAGTGATATTTTCATTGGCATGTTTAATTTTAAAATCAAATACACAATTTGTAGAATAAATCCGATTAAGTAACTCTGTGTTTGTTAACATTGCGTCTTGTGGAACAGTAGTTAAACGCTCACAAGTCCACAAAGTGATCCTTACAAAACCCTCCCCTCTATGTGGTATATCTCTGTTACCTCTTGATGGTGGTGGTGACGGGAGTTCCTTCTGGAGTGTTTGGTTCTCTGGGGTCGTAATCGTTGGATCCAAACCTGGCGTTTTCAGGGATAAACGTCTTATGGTGCATTTGGCCGTTCGAGATTCTGTTGTCAAACATCAGACCTCTCTGGGAATTTGAGAATTAGTAGTTAAAGTATGGTTCGGCATTTGTACAACATTTGAATACTACACATCCTGTTTCTAGTTTCTTCATTTGCCCGCTCGCATGCAACGACCATTGAAGCAGTCCTATCTTAAAACACATTTAGTACAGGCTTACAGTCATGGTGCTGAGCCGCTGCACGCAGTTAAGTAGAGTTACTCTGAGTCGGCTTAGGAAAACCCTAGACAGTAAACTTACGTATTAGGACATTTTACCTTTGCTTTTAGAAGCCATGTTCCTTTTGTTTCATAAAAAAACGTGTTTTAACCAGATATTTATAACACGCATTTGCTCCACCCCTTGATTGGTTCATGGCTGTGAGCAACAGCAAAGTTTGAATTTATAGCACATCTGAAGAGGTTGAAGAAATGTGTCACCTCATGATTAGAGTGAGCCACGTTGTTGTCAAACTCCAGGATGGGGGTGTGTCTGGTCTGGAACTCTGTGACAGCTGGCTGGTTGTTGGCCAACTTCTCTGCTTGACGGGCAGCTGATGGTCCGAGTGGGCGGTCGGCGTAGTTGAACCAGAATCCAGCGTTCTGGGGAAACATTTTACATCAATACCGATATACTTCACCTCATGAGATGTTATTGCTTTCATTATATGAGTAAATCAAAATGTACTACAACTGGGTAATGCCCTTCGCGACCTGTCAAACATGGACCTGTTGTCATAGGACTCGTCGTTATGGGTGTTTTGTAGCTCATGTGTTTATATAACCATGAGAAAATATCCTGAAACAACTCGAAGGAAATAATGTTATCTCTTCAAACCTGACTGCTGAGGTCTTAATGTATTATAATAATTGTAAAGCTGGTATCTAAGGTTCGTTCAGGGGCCCGTTCCACAAAGCGGTCGTAGCGCAACGAGTGTCTATGTTAAAGTACGAGAGTTACGATCACCTTAGCGCTACGATCACTTTGTGAAACGGGGCCTTGGTTTGGTTCCATCGTCCTCAGAACCATACTTCATCCCTTCCTCATTAGGGACATGAGAACGACATGGTGGGTTACTTACATCAGAGCCGGCGGCCACGTTGTTTCTGATGTAGTTGTTGAAATGAGTGATCCAGAAGGTAGACAAGGAACTGAAACATATGACAAGAGTACGTGAGTGAGTATGGTTTTATGCCGCTTTTAGCAATATTCCAGCAACACCAGAAATGGGCTTCACACATTGCACCCGTTTAGGGAATCGAACCGTGTCTGAAGAGCGAACGCTTTAACCACTAGGCTACCCCACCGCCCCACACGACAAGAGTTACTCAGCGCAGCATGACAAAGCAGATATGGTGGGTATTTCTATTTTATCCTATTTACTGAACGAGATAGATTATTGGCGTAGTCTAAATCCAGAATTGGCCGTCATGTAGTCTTGCCTCTTGAACCGACATGTGCGTGTAAAGAGTCAAGACTACAAAGGATCAAAGGACAAAATGGGATTCGCTCTTATATTCAGCAGATACTTCCAACATAGGGAATATGATGCATAGAGGCGTAGCGCCCGAATCTAGTGGGTCACCCGTGTCCATACAATACCTGAGTGGTACACTAGACAATACAGTACACGACATACTTGCAATTCCAGGCCAGGGTTTTGTTGCACCAGTTGTTTTTCATATCCGTCATTATGTGAGTGCCGTGTTTCGTTCCGATTCCGATGTTCCCGTCCAAAATATTGTATTGCTCCACACTGTCTTCCAGGAAGTAGCCGTGGCCAAGATGGTCGTAGCAGGCGTTGTCGCTCACCTGCACAGAAAGCGACTATTAATGAATATGCCAAAACACAACTGAAATGACTGAAGGCGAAATGACGCCGATACCATAGCAACATAATTTCAGGGGTGGAAATAACCCATTGCCCGACGCCAGAGTCCAGTGGGTTTTTTCTGTCGGGCAAGCAAATTTGTATATCACACTGTACCGGTGTCCAGTTGATATTCCAATGTTAATTATGTTGTTTATTTAAAAAATCAACAAGAAAACGGCCGGTATAGTGGAAAAATTATCAGGGCAAGTGATTTTACATGTGCCACTGTACCGGAGTTCACTAGCAATTTTAAGGTTATTTCCACCCCTGATTTTATGCGTTATATTTACATACAGTACATGTGTGGATTATCAGGTAGAGATTCGTATGTGTAATGTATAATTATATTAACAAATACATTGAAATATTGTTATCTTCTAATCAACAACGTTATACTGAAGTACACTTTGTCAACACCACGAACAACAGGTTCACATACAAGGTGAAACCAACTGAATATAAGGTGAAACCAACTGTATACAAGGTGAATCTAACTGAGTATAAGGTGAAACCAACTGTATACAAGTTGAATCTAACTGAACATAAGGTGAAACCAACTGTATACAAGTTGAATCTAACAATATATAAGGTGAAACCAACTGTATACAAGGTGAATCTAACTGAATATAAGGTGAAACCAACTGTGTACAAGTTGTATCTAACAATATATCAGGTGAAGCCAACTGTATACAAGGTGAAGCCAACTGAATATAAGGTGCTGCTTCAATATGTCGTTCTTCAGGATTTTACGTTCTACCAATATTTACAGTAGAACTGACGTCCCTAGTTTCTCAGCGTTTGTATACATATATATTCGACGGCAGCCCATGGCCATACATTACTGTTCAACTTTATTAATCTGTTGTGTGAAATAATTATCTACTTTCGCCGAACAAGTGGTGCAAGTGGCATATGTGTAATTATCTACTGAGTAGACTGTCACAAAGTATCCCTGGTCACAGAGAGGGCTTCGTGAAACTCCCATCAACAGTGTTGCAGTTGTCCACGTCGGCAAGTATCAGTTACAGTTGGCGTTTACCTCGAGTCCGTCTGTGCCGTGGATGGTCACACATCTGGCCAGGCTGTGGTGGATGGAGTTGCTGCGGACCCAGGTGCCGCTGACGTCGTCGCACATGTGGAAGTGTATGGGGTAGGAGCCTACAATTTATACATTTCTGACAATATATCCATTTCAATATTACCGTCATGTAGTCACGATCATATCGATAATTACGAATAAAACATGACCAGTAGAATTTGATGATGTGGACACTTATACATTTCATACTTAAAGACAGTATATACCATCTCTGAACATCTGTTGACAATAAATAAGAAAATGGTGACATGTTGATCTTCTAAACATCTTTTAACTGATACCAAATGTTACCTGAGAACTCCTGCTGTCCCATATGGTAGAACTCGATGCCTTGGATGTGAGCTGACGTGAAACCATTTGTTACCTGTAAAAACGTTCAACTTAAAAAATACTAACCGTGCATTTAAGTGGATACTGCAATTGTTCCATCGTAAAGTTATCTTCCTGACTAAATGTGACCGTAATGTCCCGCGCAAGGTAAGGGGTTTGGGAGGGGGAGGGGGAAGTTTCTTAAATCCAAACCTGTAGTCTGCGCAGAATCTTTTTTGAATCCGCTGTTTAGGATCGATGAAGTTTAATACTTTAAAATCAATCTATAGGAGCATCAGCTGTACAATATTATTTTAAAGCAGTGCATGTAATAGGTTGGCTTTGGGTTCTGGAACAGAACCAGGCTATAACGTATCTTACCTTTAAATGTCCACCGAAATGGTCGAAGTCAAAGAGAGAACAAAGCCATTCTTCTTTTTCCTGTTTGTTTCTGTGACGTAACATCCGGTTTCCATCTGACCTTCGATGACGAAGTCACGCGACAGCAGTGCCACTTCACCTCTCATGTCCACTCCGTCATACACCTTGCCGTAGTGGGGGAACTTGAATTCTCCTACAAAGAGTAAACATGGCTAAATTGGGGAGGGTGGTTGGAAAGAAGGAAATGGCCATGGGTGACAAGGACATATATATTTTTGATCATGTTGTCAGGAGATAATTGTTTAACTATGCGAGGCCAAACTTAAGTATCACAAGCGTTAACCTTTATAACAAACTTGAACATGTTCATATTCTTCCATCTTTTTATTGGAACATCAACCGTTGAAATATTTAATTGAGACGTCCAGCTCTTGTTGCCTGACCCAGCCTTACCAACTGACCACTCATAACCGACCTTTGACCCGGAACTGGTTGCTGGCGCAGTCGTCACAAGGAAACACTTCAAGTTCTTCCGCCTGTTTCCAGTCAAAGTCCGTAGACGTGAACACAACACGATCACCTGAAGACAAATAGCCAGTATATACATAGGTGAACACAACACGATCACCTGAAGAGATGGTCAATGTATGCATAGCCTAGGTGATCACAACACGATTACCTGAAGAGATAGTCAGTGTCTACATAGGTGAACACAACACGATCACCTGAAGAGAAACCACACGTACTATTCGTTGCTGGTATCAATGACAAAGCCAATGCAATCAGAGTTGACTTGAAAATGGATGCTCCCATATATTAAGTACAACGTCATACTCGTTTACCTGGTTGCCATGTAGACACGTCATTGATGACGTCGATCTTTGGGTAGGCGATATCAGTTGACGTGACCCGGAAGTTGACGTCATGAGGAAACCTCCAGTTGTTCTCTATCCTGACAGCACTTTCAGCATAGAACTTGAGTTTTCTTCCCCAGAGATTGACGTGAACGTCATCAGTTATTGTGTACTTCGCATTACCCTGTATGGTCACGTGATGTTCCATTGTAACATTTGGGCTTCCTGGGAAAGTCAAGTTTATGTAAGGTGAGTCTGCTGTATTTGTTTGAATGTTTCACGGTCTATATGCAGAGATCCACGAGCAGTTATAGCAATCTAAGCACCTACTCTTAAACCGGGCACGGTGTTCATGAACCTAGTCTGAAGTCCGGAAATTTCATTATAAACTATGTACCATTTAGCAGTAGCTTTGAGTCATCTACAAAAGAAACATAAAAAAGTAAACCCACTGTGGAGCAAAACGAACATAAAATTCTTAATCGTTTTTCTTCAGTTATGAGCAGCAGTAGTAGACGTTATTCAAAATTAACTTATCGTTTTTAGTTTCAGACGTTTGGTCCATGCCGCGGTCGCATGGCAGGGGTTCAGCATCATGAAACAAACACTTATGTTTTCTGCAAATTGTGCGAAGGGCGGGTAGGGCCAAACACGCTAATCATTCTAAGAAGGGATTTATTCCACTCATGCATTTTTGGAATTTCACACATTGGATGCTTTGTGTGTTCGTTCTTTTTCCTGCCATGATATGTGTTAGACATCAAACATATCCATATGTTGAATTTAAGTGAGTGAGTATGATTTGATGCTGCTTTTAGCAATGTTCCAGCAATATCACGTCGGGGGGCACCAGAAATGGGATTCACACATTCCAACAATGTGGGGAATCGAACCCGGGCCTTCGGCGTGGCAAGCCAACGCTTTAACCACTAGGCTAACCCGCCGCCCGAATTTAACTCATGTCTATACGGACCACTTTTCATCTATGATATACAAAAGTTGGGTATTTGTTACAATGATATATCTCGCTCATACCTGTCATAGTGATAAATGCATACGCCTCTGTATCAGTGACATCCCTCAGCTGTGATCGTGTCAAGCCACCGAGAGCCTCAACGGCAGAATATATCGCCTCCCAGTTCCAGTCAGGTCTTGCTTCAACGCCCAGCCTCCTCATCACACTGATGGCCACGACTCTACCAGTGGGGATAACTAAAATAAACGTGAACATAATATTAAACTGAATTCTGAACTAGTGTAACAGTGCAAGTTGGATGTCACAACAGCACGTCCAGAAGGTGGGTGGTGGTCTGCCACCCTTACCACGTCGTACTGGTGCGGAGACAATGGTGTTTGCAATGTTTAAGAAACTCTAAAAGGTACCCCTTATAAATAAGTGTTACGATCAATTCTAACAAAACTAACAAAATGTGAAGCAGGTTACTTTCGTATGTCATCTACACTTATATTTTGTCTTTTCAGTTTCATGCATGTTCATATATCAATAAAGGTACATAAATGAACGCAAATTACGTACTACTGAGGAACTTCACAAGCAATCTCTCCGCGTCAGAGTTCCAAGTCTCGCCCGTGTAGAAGGCGCCGAAGTCATAGAGACTCCCGTCCTGGTTCCACACCACCACGTGGAGTCCCATTCCAGTTTCCTTGCCATAGTCGGTATCCTATAACAGAACACAAGGTACAAGAAGACTAATCAGACTGTGCAGGAATCCCTTGTTCTTCCAAGAATGGAGTTACGGGACATCTATGCTAACAAAGTGCCAATGTAGGTCTGCGGATCATAGTATCAACCTTCTCGTCACTCGCTTCAAGACCTTTATAGAATAGCGATAAAGACATTGCACCCTACCTCGTGATTGTAGACAACTCCACACGTCTGATCTGCAGCAGGGATGGAGGTCGCCAGCTTCGTCCATGACGTCTTCTCTCTGCCATGAAGCTCCAGAACGCCCCCTGCCGTCACACCGATGAACTTCCGACCAAAGCCAGGAACGTTCAGTGTCGAGTTGCTGAGGCCTGTAATAAGATTGTTAAACTATTGCTACTTGGGCTGGGCGGTTCTCTACCACTGAGTATGAAATGAGCATGTAAATTACTGGTCTGACTTGCCTGGAAGTATCATGACAATGTTTGCATTGTTGACTTCAGGCACCTGCTGCTACAGTTTACTTGGCGAGGTAATATACTGTACCTGTAAGGACGATGTTGGCTTTCTTGGTGAATCTGCTGCTACAATGTTTGCATTGATTTACTTACTACCTGTAAGGACGATGTTGGCTTTCCTGCTGCTACAGTTTACTTGGCGAGGTAATATACTGTACCTGTAAGGACGATGTTGGCTTTCTTGGTGAATCTGCTGCTACAGTTTACTTGGCGAGGTAATATACTGTACCTGTAAGGACGATGTTGCCTTTCTTGGTAAATCTACAATCGTCGCTGCCGACGTGGAACTCTCCCTCAACCAGGACGTAGCTGACGGTGAGAGTGATGTCGGCCGTGTCGTCCCACACTAGACTGGCCCCAGACTCCACCGTGATGGAACCCAGAGACGGAGTGGACTCGTCCAGTAGCACGTGCATGCCCGGAGTCAGGTTGATCTGTAAAGTAATTTCACGTCATCTTACCATCATAATGCACTGTGAAAAATAATGAATAATAAATCTATATATTTGTTTACCATACGTTAGCGGAATAGGTTAAACTGTTCTAACTTGATAGCAATCGTTTCTATCGGTGTTTATACATGATGCATTCTTTTCATAAGTGCAACGGAGTAGTGTTGCATAGCGGTACATATGGTATGGTCATAGTGCCTGCATGCAGAAAAATCTTATAGTGTAATGACAAGCAGGATTATAAAACACGATTTACTTGTAACAACTGTATCATATAGAATCCTAGAAGGTACATTATTGCTTTGTCGCACTTCGACTTTGGCACTTTTTGGTTTGGCGACAATGTGACAATGTCCCTTATAGGATTCCATAGTATCAGTACGAAGTATACAATATGTTTCTATATTTACATGGCAGGCATGTGTTGTAACGTAACACACTAGTCGTTCACTGACTAAACTGGCAGTTAAACATGTCGTTGTCAATGTTTTGAGCATGTCAGTTTGAACAACGTCGTGGCAGTACCACAACATGGCTTAAGCTTTCATCTAATTAAACAGTAGCTAGACCAGAATTGAACAAGCATGTAGGATTGCCTCAAAGTACCCAATATGGGGAGTATATAGATAGAACCGATAGGCTTACTAAAACGTGTGATTTTCAGAATAATCTTAATCCGGGCCTCATTGTTTGATGATTTAAGGAAGGAAACCTTTATGTGGTAATATATTACTGAGTTTCGTCACCTGTTGACCTCCCGCTGGCTTGGTTCCTCCCCACGTGCTGGCCTCACTCCATCTCTTCAGACCGGGGTCCGTGTGGGGACAGCCAGCGTCCACAGTAGCCAGACACACCACAGTCAGCACTGCAGCCAGTGTACGAGATGACCAACCGTCGTCCATCGTGGTCACCATGACGAAGATGTGGTCAAGGACTGACCAGTCACGGTTTATATACTCTTCTATCTCTCCGTCACGTGACGCAGATGGTATTATATTAATGACCTCTACTGAAGTCATTAAGGTAATATCACTACGATCTTACAGTTTCAGAGTCCAAGCCTAATTACGACAATCACCCCAGGTAAAACCAAGGGTTACCCCAGTGTCAGCTTCTGTCTATCATGAAGCATCTTAAGTACACCCACGCGGCAACGCAATCCAAGCAATAATACCCCCAGGTGTAATCTACCTGGTCTCACCTCTGGCACTGGTGGCTGTCTCCATCAATGGCTAAGTACATGTGGTTCCACAAGTAACACCTGGTTGTTTATTTGTTGTGCAACATATTTTTCTTTAAATTAACAATTTAAATCACGCAGTAATAGTATTTAAATCAGTTTATGATGTAGATCGAGTCGCTTTGCTTTGGAAACAATTCTTCTTTAAAATTTAGATGAAAATAATCAACCTGTTCTAAGTGTCCTAAGACAAATGTGTATATTTATTACATCCTGGCAAAAATGTCCAAAGGAGCGGGAAAAATTGAGATAAGAAAACTTCAGGGCGGACGGAAGACGGGAAAAAACAGAAAACTATTTAAGACACCTATTCTAATGCCACATTGTACATATACCAACAACACAGAAAATTTATAAAAGTTTCACCTCAGAAAATTTATCTAAACATCTTTTTTAGAAGCAAAACTTAATGAGCCGTTGTTTAGTGACTTATGAGAGACCATTAATGTGCAGAAAGTACACCATAAACGTATGGAGTACTCCTACAAAAGAGATACATTAAGTATACAGAAATACCAGCTGATACAAAATACAAAGTGACTCGCGGGTGGTGTTTTTCATCGTTTCAGAATAAAATGTCAGATTTTGCCAGTAGCAGTACATTAGAAGTGCAAGACAATGTAAAACCACTTTCTCTGTGTCGTTAATATTATCAAACGTTGAAGTGAGGTGAAATTGGGTTTAACGTCGTACTTTTCGATCATTTCGCTCATATGACGACGTGCATGCGCGTGCATGAGTGGCTGCTTGTACTAGCCCAGACTTAAGCTGGTTTTATAGTGCTAGCTCACTCAGATACCATGCCGCAGTTAAGCATGAATTCCCCACTCAGACACATTATACTGACTCCGAACCGACCAGTCTTTGTTGTACCCATTAATGGCGAGCGCCAGTCAGGGACCAACAAGTGTGATATTTTAACGTCTTTTGGTATGACGCGGCCGGGGATCGAACCCGCGACCTTCCGCTCTACGGGCGGACGGGCTATAACCACTACACCACGGAGGCAGTCATCAAACGAGTCGATCAACTTTTCACAATACATCATTAACGGCAAATTTTCATGCCAATTAACACTATCAGAGGGGTACACAAAGTCCGCAGTCTAGACTACCAGTTGGTCGA